CCAGCATGTTACTGTTGTCACTAAGAGCCATCGAGTCAGTTCTGACCCACAGCAACACTGTATAGGGTTTCCAAGGAGCAGCTGGTGAGCTTGAACCACTGACCTTGCTGTTCAAATAACATTGCAATCCAGCACAGTAACCCACAGCGCCACACTAGGACTCCTACACCAGCATAAGAAGGGCCAATTGCAATGTTAGCATCGGTCAGTTGTACTTAATGTAGCTGACTGGCTAGTCTTGTGTTTTAGGTTTAAGATAGGTACTCATCACATGACAAAAAGCCTTTTTGAGTATCCTCCAGTTGCACTGGACTGCTAACCACAAGGTTGGTGATTCAAATCCATCATCGAGTCAGAACCAACTCTATGTCACTTCACAACAACAATTACGGTAACTATCAGAAGGACCACAGCTAGGGAAGCGCTTGTACCTGTTATCTGAGGCAAAGTGAAGGGCAAATGAAGGACCCAAAGGCAGAATGAGAAATGGCAGGCCTGTCTGATGGGCACAGTGGCTCAGGTAGTACAGTCAAAAAAGAAAGACTGGGTAAAATTAAATAGTAGTGGAGTTGAGGGGACAGACCACCTTAGGAGGGCCTAAAACATCACTTTATGTACTTTAGTGTGAAATGGAGCATCATCAGGGAGTTTTGCACAGAGAAGTCCTAAGATGAGCCTGATCCAAGCCATGGTGTTTTCAATAGCCTCGTATGTTGATGCTTCAATAGCCTCATATATTGATCCAGTTGAGTTATGGTGTTGAAGGAGAATATTAAAGCACCATGGAGTACCAAAAGATGAAGCAGATCTGTGTTAGAAGTATAGCTAGGATGCTTCTTAGAAGCCAGGATGGCCAGACTTCATCTTTCATACTTGACATATTGTCAGGAGGGCCCAGTCCCTGGAGAATGATATCAGGTTTGGTAAAAGTGGGGGGTCAGAGAAAAAGAGGAAGACCCCCCGCCGCAAGGAGAGGTGGAGATACAGTGGCAGTAACAATGGGCTCAAGTGTAGCAACGATTGTGAAGTTGGTGCAGGACCGACCGGGCAGGGTTTCGTTCTGTTGCGCACAGGGTCGCCTGGAGTCGGTACAACTTGAGGATAGAGAAGTGATATGTCTGATGGAGTGAGGGATGGGGTGCTCTGGCTCTAAAGTGTCACTGCTATATGTACGCAGTACTCACCTGAACACCCATCTCTTTGGGCTTCTGTCACCATCGTCAAAATCTTTCCTTCTCTTTCCAACTGGGAGATTAAGTCTGGTTTGAAGGGCGGATGCCCTGTAAAAAGGGCAGGAGAGCAAATGAAATGCATTTTGTTAAAGTTCACTTTTCGGGTTTTTCTCTAGCAGCTCCCTGGGACAAAGATGGAGCAGTTCTGCTCTGTTTAGAGGGTCACTATGAGTCGGAATCAACTCGATGGCAGTGGGCTTTTAGCTTTTAAGATTTAAGGACCCTGAGCAAGGGAGTTAATAAACAATGGTGATGGCCGAAAAAACCTGGTGAATATAGTTAATGCTACTGAACTACACTCAAAAATGGCCAGAATGCCAAATCTTATGTGACATAAATCACATCTCTACTCTCTTGGAGCTCATGTTCCAGTGGATGAAAACAGAACCCCCTTGCCATCGGGTCAATTCTGACTCCTAGAGACCCCATACAGCACACGACAGAGCTTCAAAAGGGAGCTCTGTTGGTGCACGAACCCACTAGCCACTCAGCTGGAGGACGATGAGGCTGTCTGCTTCCGTAAAGATTCCCGCCGCGGGAATTCTAGGGAGCAGGCCTACTTCTGGCCTGCCGGGCCCTGAGTCAGAATCGACCCGAGGGCAGTGGGGTAGAACTTCAAACCTGGTGTATGCAGGGATCTACCCCAGGAGGCTCATCCTGAGTTTCAGGGACTGCTTGTCCTCACCCACGGAGAGCAGGTTCCGGAAGGTCTCCAGCATCACTTCTCGGTACAGCGTCCTCTGGGTGGAGTCCAGCAACCCCAGCTCCTCCTCACTGAAGACCACAGCCACATCCTTGAACGTCACCGCTTCCTACAACATGAAACACACACAGTCTCCTTCTTACAACCGCTGTCTCTGGCATGAGGGCTGCATGGGAAAGTGGTTGCCTTCTACTTGTCACCTTCCACGTGGCCAGTTCCATTCACCTGAAGGGTTGCAAGAAAAGAGAGCCTGGCACTTTGTTGCACGTCTACAGGTAAGAATGTAGGACCCTGTTGCATGCTGGGTACTAATACTTTACATTTCATTCCTAATGCCATTTGTCCCAGAGACGCTTTCCCTCTCCACGTTCACAGACTGCCAACAGCTGAACCGCTCGTGGATGTAGAGCACCCTCTGGGCTGCATCGGTGATGGCCCCACTCATAGGCCACGGCCGAGACCCAGCGCCTGGGCTCACATGGGAATGCTCTGCCCCGGGCTGCCTGTGTGAGCGTGGACACTTCCTGAGCCCCATGGGGTTTCCCAGGCTGTGGAAGCAGACAGCTTCATCTTTTTCCCTCAGAGAGGCTGGTAGGTTTAAACTGCCAACCTTTGTGGTGAGCAGTCCAATGCCTAACCCACTATGCTACAGGTTATCTGAGGAATGACTAGATACAAATACAAAACACTAAAAATGCCTGCCACCTAGAATCATCTCTTTTCATCCCATTTCATTACCAACAACAACGCTGAAGAACACGTTCTCTCGCATGAAACACATTCTCCACATAGATCTTTAGTCCAACTGTCTGGTTCCTGTTGTTGTTAGGTGCCATCAAGTCACTTCTGATTCATATCGACCCTGCATAGGGTTTCTGAGGCTGTAAATCTTTATCTTAGCAAGACCAGAAAACCTCATCTTTCTCCATTGGAGTGGCTGGTGGGTTTGAACTGCTGGCCTGTGGTTAGAAGTCCATTGCTTATCCTACAGAGCCAATACTGTTTTGGTTAAGTGCTGTTGAGTCGGTTTGGACTCCTAGCAACCCTGTATAGGGTTTCCAAGGAACAGCTAGTGGGTTTGAACCACTGACCTTGCAGTTCAAATCAATCTTGAGGTCCAGTGCATATCCTACAGTGTCACACTAGGACTCTTACTGTCTGATTAGTGCCTTAAAATAAATTCCCCAAAGTAGAAATGTCCCCGAATGTTGTTGTTAAGTGCTGTCAAGTCACTTCCCCAACTCACAGAAACCCCATCTAGGATTTCCAAGGCTTTAAATCTTTGCAGGAGCAGAAAGCCTTATCTTGCTCCCACAAGGTTGGCAGTTCAAGCCCACCAGCCACTCCTCGGAAACCCTACTACAGCATCACTATGAGTTGGAACCAACTTGATGCTGTTGAGTCAGTTCTGACTCATAGCGACCCTGTATAGAGTTTCCAAGGAGTGGTTGGTGAGTTTGAACCGTTGGCCTCGTGGTCCATTGCTTTATCCCACAATGCCACACCAGGACTCCAACAATAATATTACTATATAATTTTTAAAATACAGAAATAATGGAAATGCATACAAACCTACACAGACAGGCACAATGGCCTTGCAGTTTGCAGCCCAGCTGGTAGTCTCCTACACAGTAGCCCGCCACACCACCCGGGCTCCAGCTACTATAATACTATAATTCTCAGCCTCCCTTTCTGAGTTGCTGTTGACATTGTGACCCTATGTAGCTAGTTGTTAAAAGACCATAAACACTGTATCTTTTACTACAATGTGTCTTAGGACTCATGACCCTAGGAAGACCCGGTGACTTGTGAATAGAATAATAATGTATGGTCTTCCCATTTTTACTTTCTATTCTCTGTGACATTAACCCAATACGCTGCTGTTGAATCTATTCTGATTCATAAAGTAGAATTACCCCATAGGGTTTCCAAAGCTGTAAATCTTTATAGAAGTGGCTGGTGGGTTTGAACCACCGACCTCTGCGCCATGAGGGCTCTACCCTTTACATTATTACTTGAGGAGTAAGAACAATAATAAATGAAGACTATAACAAGCTAATTAAGAACAAGGAAGAAGAAGGCAGGCATCTAATTGGTATTTAATTCTTTACCCTTTGCAAGGAAAAGAGAAAGATGTGTCCATTCCCTGAGAAATAAAATTATATTTTAAGTGATAGAAACAAAAATCCAACTCACCTGCAACTTGGTCATCTCTCTCCTCCTTGTGTGGGGGAAAGGCAGAAACCTGAGAAGGCAGAATAGGGTAATAAGACAGGAGTTGAGAAAGCCAAATGCATCTTTGATCCGTCCCCAGGTCAATGCACCTACCCATGACTTACGGGCCACCGTAGCTGGGTGCCCCCCTGCCTGGGACAGCTCGCCCAGTAGCTCCCATGCCCTTCCAAGCTCCCAGGGGCTCATTCTGGTCCTGGGTGACGTAGGAAGGGAGAGGCAGTGGATGCACTGGGTTAAACAGAGGCCTTGAGAGACAAAATGCCCTGTGTTCAAAACCTGGCTGGTGTGTGTGTGTGTGTGGTGGTGCCTTGTAGTCAGTTCCGACTCATAGCCACCCTGTGTAGGGTTTCTGAGGCTGTAAATATTTATGGGAATGGAAAGCCACATCTTTCACCTTTGGAAGGACTGGTAGTTTTGAACTGCTGACCTTGAGGTTAATAGTAGCCTGACTCGTAACCACTGTGCTATATTTCAGTTCTGACATTTATAAAATTTGGATGGTCACAGTGCCATGTCCAGGGTTCTTGATAGGATGAAGTTTTATCAATGTCTCTTCGGAACTGGATGAAAACTCTACAGATATTCAATGAATAAAGGTGGTTTGAACCCATGCAATTGACCACTAGGCCATTCATTTCCTCCAGAAATGAAGAGAATCCCGTAAAGGACACGCCACCAGGAGTAAGGCTGGGCCTGGCCCCAGGCTCCCCCTGCATCTATGTGATGCTCCTGGAGCTGGCTGTAAGAAGAGCTGCAAAATGAACGGTGGGTGTCTGTCTATGCAGGCACGCACTTAGCCTGAAGAGGAGCATCAGGTTTAAATCTGCCTGATTAGCAACAAGGGTCACTCTGATTGTCTAAGGGGCTTTGACAAAGTAAATCCATGCTAAATAACCATCTAAACAGGATCCACAATCAACACTCATGGAAGCAGCACTCAAGACAACAAATGACATATTGCATTCGCAGATTGATGTACGAGTCCACTTTAAAGTGTTCAAGAGCAAAGATGTCAGTTTGAGGACTAAGGTGCACCTGGCCCAAGCCACAATATTTTCAATAACTTCGATGCATGTGAAAGTTGGACAGTGAATAAGAAAGACCTCAGAAGAATTGATGCATTTGAGTTATGGTGTTGGAGAAGAATATTGAGAATAGTGAGAAGCCATGGACGGCCATAAGAACAAACAAATCTATCTTGGAAGAAATACAGCCAGAATGCTCCTTAGAGTTCAGGACGGTGAAACCTTGACTCTCATACTTCAGACATATTATCTAGAAGGACTTGTCCCTGGAGAAGGACATCATGCTTGGTAAAGTGTAGGGTCAGCAAGAAAGAGGAAGACCCCCTAATGAGATGGACCCCGCAGGACCCCTCAGTGTCTCATGCTGTTGTGCATAAGGTCGCTGTGAGTCGGAAGTGACCCAACAGCACTTAAAAACAACATCCAATAAAAAATGAGCTTTTGCTGCAGACTCCATAATGTTTCCTAGTGAATTCAAGCTAAAATTACAAGGCAAAAGAGTGTTTATTTGTGAAACTTACAATACTACAGTAGGGAGCACGGCGGCTCTGTGGGATAATCACTGAACTGCGAACCACAAGGTCAGCAATTAGTGCCCACTAGTCTCTCTGCGGGAGACAAATGAGGCTTTCTGCTCCTGCAAATACTTACAGCCTCAGAAATCCTCTACAATACTGCAGTAAAATCATTTCAATAACTAGCATTGCTTGAATCCTAAGTGACATCACACTACTTTCTATATTTCCAATGTTGCCAAAAGCTAAAAGGCAAAAGAAATCTCCATCCCCATGTAAGTCTGTACTGTCTGTTTTCTGAGCTCACACCACACAGCTCTAGCAGCACTTCTGAACCCTGAGGCAAGTGCAAACAAATTCCCATTTTTCAAAACCCATTTCAACTCCAGGTGAGAAGCTTGCTGCTAACCTTTCATTGGAAGATGTATTGACATTCTAAAAGACGATTGGCAAGAGGAGAGCCTAGCAGAATCTAAGAGAAATGCCTTCTGTATTAGATTCCTACTCTTTTGGAGGCAAATTACCACAAAGTTAGTGGCTTTAAAGGAAGACAATTTAGTACCACAGCCACAGACCATTCAGAGATCTGAAACCAGTTTCTCTGGGCGGAAGTATCAGTAGGGTTCCTGGTTCCGTTAGGACAGAATTCATTTCCTTGCTTTTCTCTCTAATTCTAGGAGCTCCTAGAATTCCTCAGCTCCGTGGCCCTTTCACTCCAGTCTCACCTTCTGTCATCACATGCCTCTCCTAACTTTGTTGTTAGGTGCCATCGAGTTGGTACCGACTCATAG